AAAAAAAAAAAAATAAAAGATAAATTCACAATACAATACTTACTATAAAATCTACGCTAATATGAACAGTTCATCGATTATTCCATTCAACTGATATTAACATTCTTAACATCCTTCTAATAAGAAATAAGTTAAAAACGATTCAAAAAAAAAGCGACTCGATATTGCATTCGAATATGACTATTCATTGCCATTCCATTTATCCCAACATCCTTTTACAGAAATAATTTTCACGATGCAAACTCTTACCTCCCTTGCCTCGCGATATATTCAATATAATATCGCGATACGAATACATATCTATTACCACCACGGTATCCACATTTCTCCAAAGTAAGTAAAAAGTATCTGAATCGAGAACCAACCACCTCGTTTAATAAACTCGATACACGTAAATTCGTGCGAACAATCGGCAAGCCTATCTCTTTTATCGAAATCCAGAAAGACCTCTCCAACAAAGTGACTCAGACCTTGACAGCGTGACATTGTGCCGCGTTGAATCACCACCGTTGGCCGCCGCTTAATGGAAAATTCATTTTACACGCGACGCATGCACGCACGCACGCACGCATGTACGCACGCAAAACACGTACAGGCCCTATTTATGATACGAACCGATTCAGATAAGCGGACCCAATGGAAACAGGTTCCCGTTTTCCCTTCGCGCGCGCTTCTGCTCGTGCGGACGAGCTACCAGTTTATCAGCCTCGTTTAATTTATTGCCAGGGCGCAACGTTATCGGCCCGTTTCGCGATCGACAATTTGCCCACCGCAATGCTCGCCTGTTAATCGAAATGTAGCCGTCGATGAGGCCGACAAGCGTAATATCCCTTTTCGTTGCCGCGTCACTTCCACTCGCGCGCCAAAGGCACGCGTGGAAGAATGCGTTTTCGTGTCCGATGCTTTATCGCCCGTCCTCGATTTATCGGTGTACGTGTACTGTTCTCGAGCCCGCCGATCGAAGTTACCGATCAAGGTAGCGCAGTGAATTTTTTATCGTATTTTTTATCGATTATACATCCGATCCGATGGATTTATTTTTCGATCGGTCGCGAATTTTTGTAATATATGTCTCGAGTTGGGATGATCATTTGTCGTAACGCGAACGATGATTAAATTAGAAATGATTTTAATGAATTTCTTGTCTTCTTGCTGATATCTGATCGGTGGATTTAGTTTTTGTAATATATGTTTCGCGTTGGCATGATTATTTTTTCGTAACGCGAACGATGATTAAATTAGAAATGATTCTAATGAATTTCTTCTTGCTGATATCTGGTCGGTGAATTTATTTTTCGATCGATTGCAAATTTTTGTAATATATCTTTCGCGTTGGGATGATTATTTGTCGTAACGCGAACGATGATTAAATTAGAAATGATTTTAATGAATTTTTTGTCTTCTTGTTAATATCTGATCGGTGGATTTTTTGTAATATATGTTTCGCGTTGGCATGATTATTTGTCGTAATGATGATTAAATTAGGAAAGATTCTAATAAATTTCTTGTCTTCTTGCTGATATCTGATTGGTGGATTTAGTTTTTGTAATATATGTTTCGCGTTGGCATGATTATTTTTTCGTAACGCGAACGATGATTAAATTAGAAATGATTTTAATGAGTTTCTTGTCTTCTTGCTGATATCTGATCGGTGGATTTAGTTTTTGTAATATATGTTTCGCGTTGGCATGATTATTTGTCGTAACGATGATTAAATTAGGAAAGATTCTAATAAATTTCTTGTCTTTTCGTTGATATCTGATCGGTGGATTTATTTTTTGATCGATCGCAAATTTTTGTTATATATTTTTCGCGTTGAGTTGATTATGATATTGTTGTAATGCGAACGATGATTAAATTAGGAAAGATTCTAATGAATTTCTTGTCTTCTTGCTGATATCTGATTTAATAGATTTATTTTTCGATCGAATTTTTGTAATATATGTTAGGCGTTGGAACGATGATTAAATTAGGAAAGATTCTAATAAATTTCTTGTCTTTTTGCTGATATCTGATCGGTGGATTTATTTTTCGATCGATCGCAAATTTTTGTAATATATTTTTCGCGTTGAGTTGATTATGGCATTGTTGTAACGCGAACGATGATTAAGTTAGGAAAGATTCTTATGAATTTCTTCTTGTTGATATTGGTGGATTTATTTTTTCATCGATCGCAAATTTTTGGAATATATTTTTCGTATTGAGTTGATTATGGCATTGTTGTAACGCGAACGATGATTAAGTTAGGAAAAATTCTAATGAATTTCTTTTGATATCCGAATAGTGGATTTATTGCTTCGTGTTAGATCGATTTTCGATTTATGATGTAAGTTTTATAATATCAATAATAGTGTAAAATTGCAAGGAAAAAGTGTAGAGTTTAAGATAAAAAGAAAGGTAAAAAATTCTTACTTTGACGAATTAAAAATGAAGATTCAAAGTGTGGATCAAAAGATATTTTTTTGATCTCGAATAGCTGTGCGGTTGATATCTAAACGAGTTCAGCGATCTGGTACGCGAAACGTTCAAGGATAAAGATAAAGAGAAGTACATTATATTATAAGAAGATAAACAAAGATAATTAAAATTTCAAACTAAACATTACAAACGCTTGTTCTATCAAACGTAACATAAACTCGACGGTTTATAAATGAAATACAAATAACATGTAAATCCTAGATAAATCTCAAACCTGTTCTCGAACACAAATCAGCAATTGAGTGTACGCTATACGTATGTAAATAAAGCGTATCGTTGGGAATTTTGCACGATACTTTTTCTAGCAATAATTCAACGTCTCTGGCGATACGAAATCGCGAAATGTACGTTAATCCCAAACATCGGGGCCGGTGTGGTATGATGTATGCACTCCCGTTCTTTGAAACGCCCTTTGACGGTTGCTTGATTCGCTTATTGATCGCGCCTGTAGTAAATCATTGGCATCGATGAGATAGTGGATCGCGTGGTCGTTGAAGAATTTATTGGCGCAGATGGTTGACTGAACGTGCCGATGGTGAACCGCTTGCAACGAGTTTCAAATTTAACCCTCATAGAATAATATACCTACGCTTCGATCTATCAATCATCGAAACTTTTTTTTTTTTTTTTTTAATAATCGATACTTAATTATTTAACTATCATCCCATTCTTTCAAAACCATTCTTTCCTTCTCATTATCAACATTATCCTACGAAGAAACCATAATTTCTTGGCAATCTTGCTTCATGATCGTCTTTAGAACACGATGTCATCCGAGATGAAAAAAGCAAATAAACTTTCTAATAATTTGCTCATCCGCTACAGAAAAATATTTGGAATTTTAAATATTTATTAAAACCAGGAAATTATTAATAGATACGCGAACACAGTAAAGCTTGGGATTCCATTTAAAAATTCGACATCCAACAATTCTGTTGAAAAATTTCAACTTAACGATCGAGTTCACATTTCTATGATTACGTAAGTTCTTCCATATTCGAAACAAATATTGAAGAATCGTAATGGTGAAAGGCGAACAAGCAGGGGAGGTGAAAGCGGCGATATTGTGAATCTGATATCGCGGTGAAATTACAAATTCGATAACATTCGAACCCACCAACCCTCCCCTCTCTCCCCACTCAAATAACTACAGGGGACAAAAACGTCTAGCGCATCAACGTCGAATAAAACGTGTATAAATACTCTTAATTCGCGATGATTAATTACGAAATTAATAACACGCGCGTCGCTTTGGCTTGGCGCAAAGGCTGGTGGAATCGAGGGGCAATAATAATTGCCGAGTGTATCGACGAATGGGGGCGAGAGAGGGTGTAATTTCGTTCGGAAATATATCTCGATAAAAATCCCTTTCGTGACGGGTGGAGGGAACAACGCGTCGATCGATGGCAATCTCGATTTTGCATCCCCTTA